GATGCAGGTAAACGATGGATGATATGGTTTGGATCTGTGTCCCCACCAAATCTTATGTTGGAGGGCCTGGCGGGAGGTGATTTGATCATGGAGGCAAATTTCTCATGAATGGTTTGGCACCATTCCCTTGGTACTGTCCTCACGTTAGTGACTGAGTTCTCATGAGATCTGGTCATTTAAAAGTGTGTGGCCCCTCCCTGCCCCTAGCTCCTGCTCCCACCATGTGAGATGCCTCACTCCCCTTTTGCCTTCTGTCATGATTGGAAGCTTCCTGAGGCCTCCTCAGAAGCAGAAGCTACTATGCTTCTTTTACAGTCTGCAGAACCATGAGTCAATCAAGTATCTTTCCTTTATAAACTACCCAGTCTCAGGTATTTCTTTATAACAATGTGAGAATGGACTAATATAACAGGTAAGTTTCAATTTGTAACTGGAGCGATAGGGAGAATGTCCCAGATGGCCAGCATTTGGTGGAAGACACTGGAAAAGAAGTCTAACGTGTGTATATCTTAGAGTTCAAGAGGCCTTAGGAGAATACTATTTTGCCTAAGGCAGATTTGCTCTTAAATTTCCTACATGATGCCTGTTTTACCATATCCTGACCTCCATGATGCCTCCAGGCCACTTGCAGTAATAGTTCCAAAGTCATCTTCCTGTGTTAAACACTTACCCTGTTGACCCAATTCCTTGCTTACAGTTGACTCTAGAGTTTGCATCTCATCTACTATTTAAGCCCTCTTTTAATTCCGCTTTACTTCAGCCTTCCCTTGGGGTCGTTTTCTTTCTGTCTCCTCTCTTTAGTCCTGACTTCCATGGAAGTTACAGTAAAACAATGCAGGAAAATAAGCAGACAATGTTGCTGAAGGACATGCAGGCCACTCCTACTTAACTCTCAGCTGACCCAGCTCCCCTTCACTTCCAGCCTCAACCAGGGAGGGAAGGCACCCCAGAACCACAAGAACTCAGAGAACTATAGTTGAAATGAAGCTCTTTATCCTCCGAGTCAACCTTTCTTGCATCTATTGCACCCAGGGCTAATGAATGAACTTCAAAGAATGGCTCCTAACATCAAGTTCATCAGTGACCAGAGGTGTACTTTTGCAACCTCCCCAGGAGCTTTGTTTTGGATGTCTTCCTACCATGAGTTTGGTTACCATAGCAACAGCCAGAGAAGCTCTGCTTGGAAGAGATTTCTTGTATAATGAGCCTGGAAGACCTTAAGGTGAACATAGACAACTTTTGCTGTTTTAGGCCTAAAAGACCCAATTTTTTTCCTTCCCTATTAGTTACTGGTATATATTTATAGCATTTGTATCACATTAACCATAAAAGGAATCTGACTTATTATTTCCTTTTAAAAATCCAGATAGTCTGATCGTATAGAGATCACTGGGTTCCTGAGTCCTGAGGCCACACTGGAATATATTATCCAAAAACTCTCAGTCTTGTCTCCTAGTTTTGTTTGCATGAAGTCATTGCTCTTCTCAAGTCCTTCTCAGGACCTGCCAAATCAAAACTCCTGAGCTGGAAGGTGGGAGCCATCCAACAATCAGTTCTTCCCCTATAAGCCACCAGAATTTTCTCCTCCTCTAGCTCATTGGGTATGGCGTTTGCACTATTTTGTCCTCTTCCTTTGGAGAATCACCCCTCCCCTGATAAATAGTTATTGATCAACCCCTGTGGTAAGAATGGTATGACTAGGTTCCTAAGACTGACCAGGCTCAGGCTCTTTCCTGGGGCTTCTGCCAGTACTATATGGGAAGGTATTCTTTTGTCTCAGAGGCTGCTAAGCTGGTAAATCCTATATCACCTATAGGATGGTGGAGAAATCGTATATTAGTCTGCCAAGGCTGCCATAACAGAATACCATAGACTGGGTGGCTATATTAGTCTGTTTTCATGCTGCTAATAAAGACATACCTGAGAGTGGGCAATTTATAAGGGAAAGAGGTTTAATTGACTCACAGTTCAGCATGGCTGGGGAGGTCTCAGGAAACTTACAATCATGGTGGAAGTGGAAGCAAACACATCCTTCTCTATGTGATGGCCAGAAGGAGAAGTGCCGAGAAAAAGGGGGAAAAGCCCCTTATGAATCTATCAGATCTCATGAGCACTCACTCACTATCATGAGAATACCATGAGGGTAACCGCCCCCATGATTCAATTACCTCCCACTGGGTCCCTCCACGATATGTGGGGATTATGGGAACCACAATTCAAGATGAGATTTGGGTGAGGACACAACCAAACCATATCAGTGGCTTAAAAAAACAGACATTTACTTCTCACAGTTCTGGGGGCTGGATGTCTAAGATCAAGGTGTCAGTAGGCTTCTTTCCTCAGCTTACAGATGGGTCCACTTCTGGCTCTGCCCTCACGTGGCTTTTCCTCTGTGCTCGCACTCTTGGTGTCTCTTCTCCCTCTTAGAAGAACACCAGTCCTATTGGATTAGGGCCCCACACTTATGACTTCATTTAACCTTCATCACTTTCTTAAGGCCTTGTCTGCAAATACAGTCATATTGGGAGTTAGGGCTTCATATGAGTTTTGAGGGAACACAATTCAGACCATAATAAATTCTATGGGAGAATAAATTCTAAGAAAGAAAGGTGGAGACCCAGTCACATTGTTCACATTGTATCTCTGGATACAATAAGTCAGCCCTACCCCTCGAAATATTTTATTTTCTTCAGTAATATTTCTTTTCTCTCCACTGCACTCGCTTAAATATTTAAACACATTTACATAATGGTCATTGTTTAGTCAAAATAAGTGAAGAAATGGTATTAGAAACTGCAAATAATACTTCATTATAAATTAAGAAGAAATATAATTTATATAGTTCTTTGTTTATTGCACTTTATCCAAAGACATAGGCACTATCCACATCTTAGTTATTGTGTACATATGAAGATCACCTTAAGCAGACACTTTTGTCTTAGTACCTTCCTTAAGCGCAATTTTTAAGATTCAATTGTTCTAATAATTTATACCCTACAATCAAGCAGAGATGAGAAGACCTCAAAATTCAACAAGAATCTGGGTGCTTACCTCTTCTGATACAAATATCAGAAGCTGATTCTCAAAGCTTCTACTTTTACATAGAAGTAAAAATATCCACTCCGTTTCTAATCACAAATGGAAAGAGCCAGAGGTGATACCCCAGCCAATCGTCTACAGTTAAAGCATTAATACTGTGTTCGGAGGATACAATTCATAATATTTATGCGCTCATTTGTACAGAGGAGAAGAAAGAGACACAAAAACTAGTGAAATCATACCTCCCCATCCATGGCTTTTAAGCCAATTCATCTGTGCTATAGGATACAATGGGGTGGCGGGGGCGGGGAGTGGATCTACAATAATGTTTACACCTTATCTAAAGAAATAGTCATATTGGGAGTTAGGGCTTCATATGAATATAATGCCCTAACATAATGCCAACAAATTAATGTATTGTTTAGCCTTTATTGCATAGAAGGCCTTCCATTTGGACATGCTAGATACAGAACTCTAAACTCTAAGCTTTTTAATCACAGAAAGTGTGCTCTCATCCATCTTTGTGTCTCCTGCCCTTAATACTATGCCCAACCCAGAATCAGGGATCAAAAGATATTTTTGGTACGAAAGGGCATAAAGACACACATATGACCTTGAATGACAGTGGCAATGTGTTACAATTTATTAAAGATGTCTACTGAGTCCAGAGTACTGCAAATATTGAACCCAAATTCTCAAAAGGCATGTGATAGAATGGGGTTACCCTTGATAAACTGTAACTAAAGTTAGAAAGATTATTTTAGAAACACCATCAGGGTAGATGTCAGAAAATCTGAGTTCCTGTCTTGCATATTCCACCAATAAAGTTTATAACATTGCACCAGTTGCTTAATCTATGTGTCTTGAATCCTCATCAATAAAGCTCAGTTAAGTTCATTCAAACATTTGTGTGAATGCTAACAATTCACTGGCAATTAATTTGAAAACAAAAATCTGTAAGGCTTCTGCAATCTAGTTGAAATCTACCTTTCCCAGTGGATTTTCTAAAATTCATCAGCACCTACCAGCCTGTCCCATGTCTTATATCCTGGCTTCTGCCACACTTCCTTCTGCTGAGATGTTCTCTCTGCTCTTCTCACCTCCCGAATTCCTGACCATTCTTTAAGACTCAGACCCACATACATCTCCTTAAAGCCTCCAGGCCCACACGCACTAGGGGATTATGTGTAGGTGTGTGAACTCCTTGAGGATGGAACACCTTCAATTCTTTTCAACACTGCCCCAAGCAGCCTTCCCACCATACACGGAGCAAAGCAAATACTGTGGCTCTCGCCTCCCCTTGTTCCCTCAGGACCTCGCAGCCTTCAGTTCACTCAACCCAAGATCTCAAGTTTTCAAAGAAATGAAGAGCTTGAAGGCTTCTGTCTCGCAAGTTAGTTACTGATGAGGCAGAAGGGTTTGGCTCCTGCTTCCTCACGTTTGTTTTGCACACACACAATGGTCTTGATACATTTAGTGGGTATTTGCAACGGGATGTGGCTGGCCCAACTGTCAGCCAACCTTCATGTTTTTCATAGCCCCCAGGAAGTCAACTGAAGAGTTCAAAGAATTGAGAAGTTAAGCCAATTTACTTAAAATAATGTTTGACTTTCTCTGTCAATATATATGTGTATTTTCTGCAAGGTTACAAAAACTGGAACATACATTAAAACAACAATTTTCAGTGGCATCTGCAGCAACTAATTCTAGAGAATTGTCTTATTCAATAGCTTTTCTTACTTATATGGAACTAAACCTTAATCTGCTTTTCAGATATGAAATATATTCATGATTCTGTCTCAAAATATGAAATCAAAAGTTAGTATTATAACTCCCAGCTAACTGTCATATTAATTCATCTGGATGAATTTTGTGGTACTGAACTCTGACAATGCTCAGTGTGTCAAAGCAAACACCTGCCCCGTCCCACGCCTACCCCAAAAACAAACGAGAGGCCTTTATAGGTTGCAAGTCCTGGTCTGGTTTATTTATAAAGCAATAAATATTAGAAGCACAAACAAATTGCACGTGTGTAAACAAACTGTACAATGATTGATGAAAGATGAGGGAAGGTGGTTCGGAAGACTCCAAGAAGCATAATAGCATCATCCTGACTGGAAGGTAGATAGAGAAGGCACCTTAGAAGCATTTGCGGTGGACAATGGAAGGGCCTGCCTCATCGTACTCTTGCTTGCTAATCCACATCTGCTGGAAGGTGGACAGAGAGGCCAGGATGGAGCCCCCAATCCAGACAGAGTATTTACGCTCAGGGGGAGCAATAATCTGCAGAAAGAAAACAAAAACTTCCAGTGAACTCTGAAGTTCCAAGCAAGGGAGCAAATAACATTGTTGGGAGGGTTCACAGAAAAAAAACATTAGATACTAATTCGCTACAATGTGGGATATGTCATACCACAAAATAATGTGGCCAATCAAGTTATATGAACTCACCTCTATTTCATCATTTCTATTATTAAAGATACATTCTATTATTAAAATGGAATTTCTCCACTTATCTAGAGTATAATTTGGCAACAAGCTAAATATATAGTGGAGGCTAGCCCAAAAGTTGGGGCTTTAAAAATGTATTCAAAGATTTTGTTGCGTGTGTGTGTGTCTTTTTTGGTCAAAGATTTATTTTTATTCACTGCTTAAAAGCATTTTGGAAGTTACCTATCTTGGGAAAAGTGCTAAGAAAATCAGAAAAAGTGGTAGAAAAACTAATAGGTAAAGTTTGTAGGAGACAGGAAACTGAGTATGAGGGGAAAAGGAATTAGGAACGTAATTCTGCTTAGAATACCAAGACTTGCCTTGGATCTCCCACTCACAAAAGTTCTTTACCTTAATCTTCATGGTGCTAGGAGCCAGGGCAGTGATTTCCTTCTGCATACGATCAGCAATACCAGGGTACATAGTGGTGCCTCCAGATAAGACATTGTTGGCATACAGGTCCTTGCGGATATCAATGTCACACTTCATGATGCTATTGTAAGTTGTTTCATGGATGCCAGCAGATTCCATACCTAGGAACAAGTCACACACACACACACACACATCACAGTGCATTCGGGTCAAGGTAGGGGGAAGAGAACAGGACTTCTTTGTGTGGGTGAGCTGTCACCATTTGTCTCTGAAACATATGTTGCCCTATAAGACACACTGCAGGGTGCAATGGATGCCTCACAGTTAATCCAAAATACAATGCCAAGAAAGGAGCAACTGTGCTTAGCACCTGTTTCGTGTAAACACCTCCTGAAACTATCAGATGTATGAAGATGTATTGGAAAAGGAAAAGATACACGTTTAAACTTACAATGAATGTGATTTTATGGACTTAAATCAGATCCTGACAAAGTTCCTCGTGGAAAGCATTGCTTAGGAAGGATATTTGTTGACATACCAGTGTCCAGTTATTAATATGAGTAGGAATGTTATTGCATTTAATGATGAGTAACTTGGAAAATCCAGCTACTTGGTAATGAAACTTACTGGAATAAGTCAGCTCTTGTGAAATAGCCCTTTTCCTGCAGATATGTGATATTCAGTTACTACTCTGTGTCATCCTTTATTTTGAGATGAACTCAGTGTGTCATCCTTTATATCACTAGAGCAGAACATAGACTTTCCCTTTAATGAGCCATCAGGACTTGAGGTTGAGCTGTGTGGGAGTCCAAACTTTGACTTCTTTTAACTCAAGAGCTTCTTGAGCCTTCTAGATTTCACTCTGGGAGACCCTAAGATTTCCAGGGAAAATCGTGCCTCTGCACCAGACCCTACAACTCACCAATGAAGGAGGGCTGGAAGAGCGTCTCAGGACAGCGGAAGCGCTCATTGCCAATAGTGATGACTTGGCCATCAGGCAGTTCATAGCTCTTCTCCAGGGAGGAGGAAGAGGCAGCTGTGGCCATCTCATTCTCAAAATCCAGGGCGACATAGCACAGCTTCTCCTTAATGTCACGGACAATTTCACGTTCAGCTGCAGAAATAAAGAGTATCACAGTCATGCTCTGCAGCAAGAAGTCAACTGTCGGGAGGTAGGTGGATTCAGTGAGGGAGGAAGAAAGCAGACCCACACTGTGGCAGATGAGACACACACACACTCACCAGTGGTGACAAAGGAGTAGCCACGCTCAGTGAGGATCTTCATGAGGTAGTCAGTGAGGTCCCGACCAGCCAGATCCAGACGCATGATGGCATGGGGCAAAGCATAGCCCTCGTAGATGGGGACATTGTGAGTTACACCATCCCCAGAGTCCAGAACAATGCCTGCCCAGGGAAGCAGACAAGAACAAGGTAAATTCCTGAGGACAACACCACTGCTTTAGCCATGGCAAAGCCTGCTTCCAATCTTGGCTAAGAGATGCTAGCAATGGGCATTGATCCAGATGAAATTAGATTCCTTACACACAAAGAATAAAAATGAGCATCATGGATACTAAATCTGAAGAAAACTGCAGCTCATCCTTTTAACTATTATAGTAGAAAAAATTCCCAGGGACACTTTCAAATGACCATCCTTCTTATCAGCCATGAGCGCACATGATGTAAGCACCCAAGTGTGTTTTTCTTTGCTCCTATTGAACTTACATCTTTCTCTCTCTTTTGACTCAGACCCCACAGGGAATGTATTCTCCTTGGGGATGCTTGCCCAGGTGATATGATGGTTTAAACACATAACAATGACTGCTGCACTCCAAGTTGCTACATTGCGCTGAGCTTTAAATAAGGGAAGGACCTAACTCCACAAGCTATCAGCTCCCACAGTAAGTGTGCTCTGAATCTAACCTCAGGGCACTATTGTTGCCTCTCTCTCTTAGCACAGACCTTGCTAGGGAATGGGAGGAAAGGAATTATCCCTTTTTCAATTGGGGGATCTGATTCACAGCAAGGTCGGTGACTTGGGAATGTGATTAGTCAGTAACTGTCCCCAGAGCCCTGCATACCTGTGGTGCGGCCAGAAGCATACAGGGATAGCACTGCCTGGATGGCCACGTACATGGCGGGGACATTGAAGGTCTCAAACATGATCTGAGTCATCTTCTCCCGGTTGGCCTTGGGGTTCAGCGGGGCCTCTGTGAGCAGGGTGGGGTGCTCCTCGGGAGCCACCCGGAGCTCGTTGTAGAAGGTGTGGTGCCAGATCTTCTCCATGTCGTCCCAGTTGGTGATGATACCGTGCTCGATGGGGTACTTCAGGGTCAGGATGCCTCGCTTGCTCTGGGCTTCATCACCTACATAGGAGTCCTTCTGACCCATACCCACCATAACTCCCTATGAGAAGGAAAAAATGAGAAAATCATGCCCTCGCCATGTCAAGAATATAATCAGTGTCTTGTCCATTTATATCTAACTGCCCAAGTCAAGGAACATATTTAAATACCAGAAATAATAAGCAATAGGATTTTATCCCAATTTAGAAGAATTATTTAAAAATCAGTCTTTTACCTTCTCCCCACTCCCCCAAAGATGTATAATTCTATTGTTGAGAATAGAACTCAGGAGAGAATGAAGCTGTTTCACTGAAGAAGCAGAGCCTCACCTCACCTTAAAAATATCATATGCCTTCATTAAATTATTAAGCTCATCACCCATGTCAACTGGGATATAGATGACTGCATTTTGGAATGACTGAATTAATGACACATTGTATTTCTCCTAAGAAAAAGATTTTGACATTCAAGTGAACACATAATGATGGGCTGCTATGCCATCCTCACTCCAACAGTGAAATTCAGCCTGTCCAGAGCTGTCCTGGAGTCATTCGTCAGCTCTGAGAACTAAGCTCTCCTCCTTGGCAGCCTGTCTGGCCAGGCATGTGACAAACCCAGAGAGCATGGCATTTCTTTTAATAAACGAGGTGGTATGTCGCTATCACCATGGCACTTGCTGCCTCTGTCATGCCTGGCTTCTAAAAATGCAGCAGCCAGGAAGGAGATAGATTACACCTTTGGGGAACCCTGTAAACTGGCTGCGAACATGAGAGAGGAATGTGGATTGGGTCCTGGCCGGTTGGGAGAGGTTATATTGTTAGAAGTTTTAAACAGGACTGAAAAGAGAGGACAAGGAAGAAAATGAAGTGTATAAGGCAGAGGAGACACTAAGGACTCAAAGTCCAAAAGGCCGTAAGTGGAGAGAAACTGGTGGCCTTCACACCCGGGAGTGCCACCCTTTGAGAGGCCTGCCACTCAGGTGTACACTTCTCAGTATGTTGGGGTTTGGGGGGGGGGTATTGCTTGCCTTGGCTTGGATTTGAAGTGGATCCGCCTTTTCTAAATTGGGCCTAAAGAGTTCATCGAACAAGAGGGTCAGGTGAGAGCCATTTCCTAGATCGCTGGACTGAAAGGGTCACAGGTGGGACTGGGGGCTCCGCGGGAAGTTTACCTGGTGCCGCGGGCGGCCCACGATGGACGGGAAGACAGCGCGGGGCGCGTCATCGCCCGCAAAGCCGGCCTTCACCAGCCCAGAGCCGTTGTCGCACACCAGGGCGGTGGTCTCCTCGTCGTCACACATCTTGGCACAGCTTCAGGGGGTTCTGCAGGTTGAGGAGGAGAGGCGGACCACGCTCAGCTGCCTGTGCAGCTGGCCTTCTCCGCACCCAGAGGAGGGGACAGAGTAGAAGGGGGTTTGTGGGGACTGGACAGGGGTTTGGGCGGGGAACACTCCTGCCACCTCCCTTCCCCTCGAGTCAAAAAAGGGAGGGAAGAAACCGCGGAAGAGACTGGGGACAGAGAAGGGCAGAGGAATCCACCCAGGCTCCCTGGCCAGGAGTTCCACCTAGGGTGCCAGGTGCAAGGAGGGACCCATGAAACCCAGCCCCTTAGTCCTCCCCAGCCCTTTAACTTTCTTCCTTTTCACCAACTGGGAGCACGATCTCCAGCCCTGTCCGTATCGCCATGCCTGTGCCCCAGATGGAGGGGAAAGCACGACCCTTGGGGAGCCACAAAATTCCCCTTCTTAGAGCCCCTGCGAGGTCCTGCGAGGACCGACGCCCAGGACAAAATAAGCTAGAACCAAATAAAAAAGTGTGGGCTTAAAAAAAAAAAAGGGAGTCGTAGAGCGGCAGGAGCCGGGGCGCTGGCTGAGGACCGGCCGAGCGGGCCAGGTGGCGGCGCGGGGCTGGAGTCCGGCGCGGCCCGCGGACCTGGCGAGAAGTGAGCGCGCAAGGCCGGGCGCTGACTCACCGTCGGCGGGGCGGGTCGGCTCGGCTCGGCTCAGCTCGGCTCAGCTCGGCTCGGGCGGCGGCGGGCTCTGGGTGGCTGGCTCCAGGAGGGCCGCTTTATAGAACGCTGATGGACAGGGTCAGTTGGAGCAGCCGGGGGCAGGAGTGGGGGGCCCGGTCTGCCACCTTGCCTTATTTGGTCCCCTTCGCACCCGCTAGGACTGCCGAGGCCATTCATGGAGCCAAGGGCAGGGGAGAGGATCAGCCGGGGGGCCCCCAGACCATGTAAGGAAGGGGAGGGGGCAGCCAGGGGGATGGCCAAATAGGGAGCTGGGGAGGGGCAGGCGGTGAAGGGTAGGGGGCAGGGGAAGACTGAGTGACGCCAGCCCACCCCTCCCCTCCCCTCCCCCTTTCTGGGGTGGGGGTGCTCCTTGGATGGGCTGTGGATTCGGTCCTCCGCAGCCCGGCCAGCCTTGGGGACAATAAGCCACATGCAGTGGGAAAGCTTGGCGCCCTGCCCTCTGCTGAGGGGTCCTGACAGCTGGGCCAGGGCAGCAGGGGAGCAACAGCGGCTTCTCATCTTCCAGGGCTGCCAGGAGCACAAAGGACACCACAGCAGCACATCTGAGTGGCTGCAAAAGGGGCACCCGGGACAGGGCACCCTTCTCGTCTATTCCCCACCAGCCTGGATGGCTTTACTCAGAGAGCTAGGGCTGGGCTCATCTAGGTCAGAAAGCTGAGATTAACCAAGGCCACCCCAGTTCCGGCCCATGCATGGATCAGGGTCTGGCCAGGGAAGAGTCAGAAAAGGGTTTCTGTGAGAGCTTGACCAAGTCTTCCTGGAGAAGGGACCCAGGTTTACCCCAGCCCAATTATTGGGTAGCCCTCATCCATGCTGCGGGAGTCTTGCTCCAATTCAGACTCTGGTCTTCAGGTCAGAAAAGGTTCCCCTGCTGCCAAAGTGAATAAAGGAACAAATGCCAAAAATAGCTTGCTCACCTGATGGTGGGGAGATGAGCATCTTTCAACTGGGGGCAGAGGCCTTCATTCCAGGTGGAGACAAGACTGAAAAGGCAAATACTTTGATGGAGAACATAGCAGCAACTTAAACTGAGAATACACCAATCCTTGCCACTCAAAGTGCAGCCTGTGGACAAGCAGTATTGTCATAACCCGGAAATGAGCTAGAAATGCAGTCTCAAGTGCCATCCCAATCCGCTTTTCAGCAAGATCCTCATTTGCTTGGTGTGTACATTAAAGTGTGAGAAGCATTGGCGTAAATGACAGATATCAACTCCTCTGTGGAAAACAGATTTTGCAGGATCTTGAAGTTTTGAGAAGGAAAAAGAAAAATGGCATGAAATAAGGAGAGGGGGAAGGAAGAGGGAGATGTAAGAAGGACACAGATCACTAGTTTGCCCTGGGGTGCCCTGCATTCTCAGTTCTTGACTGGCGCTTTGATTTTTAATGCTTGTGTTTTTCCTCCAGTTCACACCAGTTAAAAATAGAAAACTGGGCACTGGCATCTCTCTCTAGAGTGGTCTTGGGTTGATATGCTGAGGAGGCCTGCTGATTAGATACTTGTCCCGACTGGGGAATGCTGGGCCCTCCCCTCTGAACTCCCCAACCATGTTTGGGTTGGTCTGGAGAAGAAACGCGAGGGCAGCTGTGTGGTGGGGCTGGGTAAGAGGCCTGGCTGAGATTACTCCGTGCAGCACAGCAGGCATTTTACAGTAAAAATGTTTATCGACAGGATGCCAAGGATAGAACTGCTTCCTCTCGTGAAAATATAGAAAAACCAAGGAAAAGGAGAAATGGGACTGGTGTCAGTCAGACAGACCTGGGCTCAAATGCTGCCTCCATCACTTACTACTTACTATCTGTTTGGTCTTGAGCAAGACACTTAACCTTCCCAAGCCCCAAGTTTTCCCTCTCAAAAGCGATACCCTAACACTTCCCGCAGAGGTGATTGTGTATTGTAATAATTAGAAACAAATGCTGTATGTGAGATGGAAGATACAAAGCAAATTGTATGAGTAATAATGATACTTTTGGAGGCAGTAGTAGCTCTGCCTTTTAAAGAATCAGGTTGATTTCATTCTTCATTGACTCAGCAAATCTTTGCAGGACGAGAACTGTACTAGTTAAGGATTCAGTGATAAATAAAACAGAACAGGACTCATCCTCCGTGACAATTACAGCAAAGTCAGACAGCTATGGCACAAACTGGGAAGGAAAAAGAGGTATCAGCAGGATAGTCACAAAAAGGGAAGGGGAGTCTGAAAGAGTTTCCAAGAAAGGCTTCCTGAGGAATGTTGTTCGTTTTTAAAAGTAGAGCAGAACTGAAGTTTATGAACATTTGTGTGAGAAAAAGAGTTTCTACATGGGAACGGCTGATGAGAGAGTCCCACTTTCACTGCTATAGGTGCAAGCGCTCTCAGGAATGGAAAACCATGGTTATTGACCTCAGTCCTTCACACAGGCTTCCGGGGCCTAGGAGGCCACTTCCAGCTCCCTCATCTCAGGCCCACTGGCTCTAGTGGGAGGCGGGTAGAACAGTGGAGGACTCACAGCAGTTTTGTGGAACAATATTCACCCTTAAAATATTTGAAAAATATATTTCCCATTCCACTCATTTTCACCGCTTAACACTCAAAACACTGTATTTTCATATGTATTATGTGTGTGGCAAGAAAGAATGCTTATTTGATATTTACTATTTGTATTACTGCTCGATTTCCACATTTTATTTTATTTTTATGTATTTGTGTGTTTGCTTCAGACAGCGTCTCCCTCTGTTACCCAGGTATAATCAGGACTCACTGCAGCCTCGACCTCCCAGGCTCAGGTGATCCTCCCATCTTAGCTGATCCTCCCACCTCAGCCTCCCAAACAGCTGGGACTACAGGTACACGCCAACACACCCAACTAATTTTTGTATTTGTTGAAGTGACGGGGTTTCACTGTGTTGCCTAGACTGGTCTCAACTCCTGGACTCAAGTGATCTGCCAGCCTCAGTTTCCCAAAGTGCTGGGATTACAGGCATGAGCCACCAAGCCCGGCCTTGAGTTCCACATTTTAAAAACTTTGAACCTTATTTTATATATTTTAAAATGTAAAGCAACAGGAAAGTAAGATTTCATGACTGACTTTTATTTAAACAACTTTTTATGGATCCACTTAATTTGAAAATTGAGATTGGCTTTTTAAGCATATAAAAATGACATCTCAAAACCAAAAAAAATTACAAAACAAAGAAAAAAAAAGTGACATCTCCTATTTGGTGCATTCTAGATTTTCTTTATTATGGTAAAATATGCATAATATCAAATTTACTCTCTTAACCATTTAGAAATACACAGTTCAAAAGTGCTCAGTGCATTCACATCAGTCCCAATGTTATTTTTTTATTGCTAATTGTGACGAAACTGTGCTTCCTGCAGTTTGAGAAAGACTGGTTTCTATCCTGTGAGTTGGGGAACCACTGAGCCTTTTTTGTCCGAGGTCACACAGGTGAGCAAATGGTAGAGTGACAATTCAAACTCAGGCACCTGGCTTTAAGCCCTGTTTCCAACCACCACCAAAACTATCTTCACATATACTTGGTCTGCTATTTCTCAGAATGTGATGCTAAAACTGCCTCCAGCCAAATTACCTAGACCGCCTAATAGAAATTCCGATTCCTGGGTTCCACCCTGGAAGATTGAATCTGCATTTTCAATGAGCCCTAACCCTTTTCCCCCAGGTACGTTTCTCTGCAGAGTGAAAAACTTAGCCGCACTGCTTGGCTGTTCTCTCCGAAGCCCACAGAGCTTTGCTGGATGCTGTACAAGCTGCCAGTGCTGGCTGGAGGCCAGGTTGGCTGACCTTGTAGATCCCAGTGGGATGGCAGAGCTGGGGCGGGTCCCCAGGGCTTTCGAGGGCCAGCGAGGCCCTTCTCGGCATGGACTGGCCATGAGGGAGACGTGCAGGGCAAACCGAAGGAACAGAAGGTGGGACAGTTCCCACTGCCCTTGCCTTGGGGGAAGTCTGTTTCATCCACCATCTGCTGGGATCTGGAAGGGAGCGGCCCGGCCTCCTCCCCGGCACTGGGGGATTAGCAGTCACTTATCTCAGCTGTTCCTCCATTCGGAGGTGTCACAGTATTTACAGAGAAGCCAGAAACAGAGCCACACTTAATTCCTGCCCATGAGCCCTCCCCATCCCCTCCCGTCCCTCCTGCAGTCTGTGTGCCAGAGGGAGGGAGAGCCTCGGTTTAGATCAGATCGGGGGGGAGGATCTAGCCTTCCTAAACATTCCTATTTTCTTTGCCTACACATTTGTTCACCCCCTCCGCCCTCTGGCTGGAGCTGGGTTTCAGTTTTCATTAAAAGGAGAAAGTGACGGGATGATGAGGGCTGCAGGCCCCCACGCATCCTGGTGTTCAGAATCCAATATATGAGGCATGGCTAATCTTCACAGCATACTTCCCCGTGTTTTATATGCAACCACCAAGAGGATTAACCCAGGCAGAGGGTATTTGGCCCCAGATGGATTCTGCTCTTGGTAGATCCCAGCCGTCACTGTCTTCTAACATGATAGGACCAACTGTAATGAACCAGTTAATACGATTCAGAAAAGGAGGACAGGGGAAGGAGGAAGGGGCACGGGGGAGGGAGAATATAGAAGGGAACATAGATGGGAGATGCTTCTCTGGATCCTGGTGACCACATTTTTTTTTTTTTTTTTTTTTTGGAGACAGTGTTGCTCTGGCCCCCAGGCTGGAGTGCAGTGGTGCAATCTCAGCTCACTGCAAGTTTCAAGTGATTCTCTTGTCTCAGCGTCCTGAGTAACTGGGAACACAGGCACGCACCACCATGCCTGCCTAATTTTTGTATTTTTAGTAGAGATGGGGTCTCACCAGGTTGGCCAGGTTGGTCTTGAGCTCTGGCCTCAAGAGATCTGCCCGCCTCGGCCTCCCAAATTGTTGGGATTACAGGCGTGAGCCACCGCACTCAGCCTAAAGACCACATTTGTATTCTCCTCTATCCTGGTGAAGTCAGGGGGAAGAATCAGAAAGGATTTCTAGATAGCCTTTTAAATTCCTTAAAAGGAGTTTGTCTGTGAAGAATGAAATGCTCACGCCCATGGGTTTCTGCTTGGAAGCTACTGCTCTTAGCTCAGATTTGACTTGCTCTGCACACTGGCAGTGGCTTTGTTTATGGAGTTTCCGTTTTTCAAGTATCACCTGGAGCAAACCCATCTATCCTAGAGAGCCCAACCATGACAATGTCCAATTTAAGCCTGACCTGCAAGTAGAAGAGCTGGAAGACCTGCATCAGAAGTAAGAGCTGTGAGCTCGGAAAACCTCCTGCGGGCCACTTTCACTCACCTGCGTCACGTAGCGCCCATCTCTTCCCCAGCAAAGATCAGGCGCTCATCTGACACACAATGTTGGTAATGGTAACACTAATCGTTGACATTTCCTGAGACTTTCCTAGAGGCTGGCACTATCCTGCCACTTTCTATGTGTGTATGGTCAACAAGGTCAGTTTCTAGATGAAGCTGGGCAGACTTCTATGTAGAAGCCATTTTTACCCAACTATTCTGTTTTTGTTTTGTTT